TGGCCAGTCAATGATTGCTTACGTTAGCATCACTACTGTAGTACTACCGGTACAGTAGTACGAAGTACTACGTCCGTACGGAAATGATTGATTGATTGGGCTCTTTTGAGCTTTTAACAAGTGTACCTCGGCCAAATAGGTTATTTCCTGGACTATTGTATAATTCCAAATAGAGAATTTCATTAGGAACTTGAATTCACTCATTAGAGAGGACTAATTAGAGTACCATTGAAGTTATGGGACAAAACTGTCAGGAATGATGATTGATTTTCACTGTGTTTGATTTGTAGTACAATTATCTACATATAAAGGTTTAGATCAAAGTAGGTCGTACAGAAAAAAAGTCAGTACCTTTTAAACGGATAAAAGTTGTACGTAACTGGTAAATCTAACTAACATTAAGGTATAGGGGTAGTACTTCGTAGTTGTAGTGCATTACAGTATAGTGGTAATACCGTTAACGTTAGAAGACGTAAACGATGAACACACGACGAGACTGCGCCCAAAGCGTAAGCGGTATACAATTTTTGTCTGTTGTTGTTTGTTCGCAGTCTCCTCTGCGTAGGGGTAGAGTTTTTGGGCGATCAAGTTGTTGTTGTCTGTGCACATAGCATAGTTTAATCAAGTAAAAAAAGTAACCGTCAAAGTGCGTCATAATAAGCTTTCTCAAGATATTCAATGCACTATTTATGACTATAGTTTAGTAAGCATAGTACAATGCAGAAGCAACATAAACAGAATAGAAGTCTAATTTGACAGTTATATCTTATCTGTACAGAAAGTGCAGTACATACAGTATGTAGTACCGTACGTAATACTAGTATTTCAGTACGTACAGTACATTACAACGTACTAACTTTCATTACAAGTTTGTATTGAAGAACACGTATTTTGGAAGAGCCAGTTTGAGGCCAGTGGAGTTCAAAACCTTGAACTTCGAAATCCGAATCAATTCATCGACTATGCGTTGTGCGAGCTACTTAGAATTGCGTATAGTGGCCTGTGGGCTGAGATCTGGAGAACCGAAGTTAGAGTGTGCGGTGAACTAAATTCGAAGTGCGCAGAGCACAGTAAATTGAAGAATGTGGAATGAAGAGCTCTCGAAAAGGGTTAGGTTTATTTCAACAGTGAACGATGACCAGTGCATTGTATCCGGATTAACCCAACCGGTAATTATGCGGATGAACAATTGAGAATCTGACACTTTTGGATTGGACTTGTGGTGGTGTGGGTGAAGACGTGGTGTTGTGGGCGGAGACGCGGTGTGGTGGCTCGCAGTGTCGTTACGCTTGTGTTCCTTGGCCACAGTGTCTTTGGACGCTATCCAATCCCAAAGAAAGATATCAATCTAACCTGTTTAGGAACAAGACAACTTGCGATCGAATGAAGGTTGTTGCCTCAACGACCGATACTCGACTAGCTATACCAAAATACGGTATTGCAGCTAAACTGTGTGCACAATTATATCTGTCTAACATCATTAGGAACGAGACATCTAGACATGTGGACAACGAATTACACGCGGTAGGAGTGGTGTTGTGGGCGGAATTGTATTGAACCTACACAGCCTATATATTGTATTGATCGGCCACAGTTATATCCATCCCAGGAAACAACGATATCTGTCTAACACGTGGAAGTTAGAATCAAAGTTAAATGCGACGACCACTACCACGACGAACAATGGTACATCGAGCGCTATCATAACATCCGTATTTGAACACAACCATCCCATGTACACAAGTGATAACAATCTAATCCGTATAGAACCCGGACAACGCGATGTATCACCGAATGGCAAGCGATTGATACACCCCATAGAATGATATTGGCTGAAATTGTGCTGCTGCCTGACCATTTGAAGTATCGACCACCGCGACCATGTACTTTGGAAAATTGTACTTTGGAATGAACCACGAGCTTATGACAACGAAACGCTTATATTAGAAGGTTAAACATCGTGATAATTGCAATGAGCTAGATCAACTTTGATTCAATTATGGAGCAAACGCCCATGACTTCACATTTGAGTAGCATGTAAATGGTCCATTCCCATTATCGCGTTTGTGTTTTGAAGTGCGAGTGGATGTAGCAACACGACCAGGGATGAAATCGTGGTCGAGAGGAACATCGAACACAACAGCACTGTAGAGTAAGAGCATGTTGGAGCGTTTTGCCTTGCCAGTCGCATGACAAGTGCACGATTGGAGGTCCTCAATGGACGCATCGTCATCCGTAGCAACAAAGAACACTGTAAGTACAGAAGACCCAGCAACACGTCGATCAGTAAAAACAATGCGCCCACTGAGCCGCGCTAGTGCCGGTCGGTCAATTCGGTCTAAGAACGCTTCGGCCTCATCAAGCGAGTCGATCATAGCTCCATTTGGCGCTATCGGAGAGCTTTCCATGTGCCCAAGGATACTGACGCGACGCTTAGGTTCTGGAGTTCCCGCGCTGTGGTCAGTGTCGTCTGCCTTTCGCTTGGGATGCTTCATTTCAAATTGGAAAATGCACACTTGATTAAATTAGAGAAAGGACTACATGAATTAAATGACGAAATATACTTCAACAATATTATAAGACAGAGAACATGTATTCAATTAGTCGTGTGGGCGTGCTGGAAATTCATCGTACACCTTCGCGGCAAGGCGACGTTGCTTCGAAACCTGTGCTTCGAGGATCGCTTCAGCCGTTTCGAGTCGTCGCTTGAGATCCCGGACTTGGTACTCCAACACATGTCGTGGCACTTCCATACAGGTCGTATGGCGCTGCAGATCGCTCGTAATAGCTTGAGATTTGTTTTTGGCAAATTGCAGCCATTTCTGACGCATTTCATGGAACGTGGTCTGGAGTTTCGATTTTTTCATCCAAGTCGCCAGTTCTGCAATGTAGGAGTGAATACCGAGCGCGTTATCAGCACAGTGCAACGGCAAGTAGTTGACTTTGTACTTCTTTTTCCCATGGAAACGTCCCATGCTGTACATTGTGTAGTCGCACGGCACAGCCTTAAGAATCCGGCGCCAACCGGTCCAAAAGGCCCAAAATTCCTTGGTATCATCAACTAGCTCGCGCATGTCACGCAGTTGGGTAACCAGAGTCGCGGCCAATTCTGCATCCAATGGACTCACGAAGCTCATACGTTGTAAAATGCCCAATGCTACTGGTAGATTATATGATGGTCTTCTTTAACAAGTTATCAGGTTCAAGGTTTGCTATGTGAATTCGAAGCTTGTCAGGGAAGTGATTTGTATCAGACGCATTCTATATTTATTTCCAATGATTTGTATCAGACGCATTCTATATTTACTTGCAATGACGCATTCTATATTTACTTGCAATGATATCAGGTTCAACGTTGTAGTGAGAATGTATGTGCTTACTTGTTTTCGATTAGTCCCATTTTGGAAGTTCAAGTGACTTCTTGGGTAGCGATAAATTACCGCGAGTACAGTAATCATCCACGCTTGTGCCGTTGCTGACGTAGTGATCATCCACATTTGAACAGTCTTACTTAAAGTTGTGTTTGTGTGGTTTCCCTCATTACTTTTTATCTACTCCCGTGTGTGGCTTCGGTGTGGCTTCCCTGTGTGGCTCCGTGTGTGTGGTCGTCCGTCGACCCCCGTGTTTCCTTCGAGAGCCGTCGTCGCCGATTCTCGTACGTATCAAGTTTAAGAGGTTTCTTGTCATTCTCCCAAATCAAACTCCGGGGGTACTTCTGTGATTGGGTTAGACAGGTTAAATGAAATTAAAGGAGTTCCTTGTATGATCGAATTATATAGTTATTAACTTTCAAAATTAGGAAAATATGGACCCAATCAAACAGCCTGACGAAAAGAGGCGAAAAATTATCCAATCCAACTCGATCCTAGTAACTTGACAAATGCATATTCAGTCTATAGACTTGTGCTTCAGTTCACATGGAATCCAAACAGGCGTCAACTACGCCAGCCGCAGACATGCGCGTGACTGAGCCGAATAGAGATATTCTTAGAGCAGCAGGTCAATCCAACTCCATCCAAGTAATACCAACCATTGATAAATATCATCACACCACCAAGTAGTTAACAAGGATTTTGAACAGGTCACAACTACTCACGCCACTGACGTGGCCGTGACTGGACCGAAGACACGGAATGTTACTCCAGCAAGCGATGCAACACTCCCTCCTGACGCGGAGAAGGTGCGACGCCGCAGGGAAACGAATCGACTTCGAATGGCTGCTCAGCGAGCCAGCCAACGGTCAACTGAATCACCTGACGATCGGCGCAAGCGACTAAATATTGAATGCGCGAAAAAATCTGAGATGCGAAGCAAGGAGTCTCCAGTACAGCATGCTTTACGCCTGCAACAACTCAAGGATAAGCGCTCTATAGAATCCTCCGAGGAACATCGGGCACGATTGGACAACCTCAAAGCTCGACGACTCTTGGAACCTCCTGATGAGCATGCGATGCGGTTGAGGAAACTTCAAGAAACATTGGTGGTCGCATTGCTCATCGTGCTTCAAACAAAGTCGCAACACAAGAGGTGCGCACTTGTGCCGGTATTTGTTCCCTCGGGCCCGAGTTGAAGTTGGACGCATTGGCACGTCTGCAATCTTGCTCGTGAGGAAACTCGGAGAAGAGTACATCAATGGATACAGCGATGGCATCCTTCGTGCGTTCAAGTGCAACCACGACATTCAAATCATGATCGGTGGGGCTGAAATGGCTGAGCGTATCTACTATACCTGCAAGTACACCACCAAAAACCAGCAGAAGGTTGAATGTCGAACGGCCCTGGCACTGGCTGCTTTTGACACGCGTATTCAGCGAGAACTATCAGTAGCTGAAGGTGGAGAGGCTCTGTCCGATGAAGTCAAGTGCCGTCGTCTCACATGTTCAACACGACCAGAAAACAAGAAGTTGTTGGTCCGCTGTGTGCCTTGTACCTGTTGCGCGAGTCGTGTGCTTACACCAGCCACTTTTACAAGAAAATGTCGATCCGACACGTGCTGAAGTTCTTGCACCACCACAGCGACACTCCATTTCAACTTGAAGTGACCACCAACATCAAGAACAGCAATGGATCGTGTTCGCAACTGGAGGAAAGTAACGCTTCTGACAGCGAATCCTCCAACGACGGGTCGGAAAGTGACTCCTCTGACCTGGAAAGTGACGACGAAGAAGACACTTCATCATTTTCTGGACCAAGTTGCCCCGAAGAATCAAGCGTATTCGTACCGGTGGTTCAGCCGAAGATTATATCAACAGACCCGATGCCATGTACAAGGACATCTCATGGTTTGAGTTCATGTCCAAGTACTTCCTCGCAAATCGAACAGAACGGACATCTCCGGAGAAGCTATTCATGGAACGACATTCCCTGCATGAGTCGAAGTGTCTTGGGGTACATCGCTTGGCGCGTATTCCCGTTCTAACGGGTGGCGTGCGCGTGCCATTCTTTGGGGATTGTTTGAAACCCGAGGAGAGGAACTTCCACGCCCAAGTTGCTTTGGTTCTGTTCAAACCGTTTCGTGTGTTGGCGGATTTGTGCCCTCACGGCTCAACATGGAATGAAGCGTGGGAAGCATTTCAACCCACGATGAGCACTGGTTGTGCGGAAGTGTACCATTTCATGCAAGACTACCATGTCGGTCGAAAGATGGCCGCGAAGACGAGAACGTCCCGGGAAGAACAGGACATCCAAAAGGAAAATGACGATGGTCGCACTGAGCCTTATGACTTCGACGACTTTGACTTCGACGACTTTGACTTCGAAAACGCACTCCTGGTTGCCAGCGGACATTCAGCAATCAGCCACTTGGATTGAGACGATGCACTTGATACCACCTTGGAGCTGTACCAAGCTATATCATCGTCGGAGATGAGCAACCAGGTCAGGTTTCCAACGCGACACTGATTGAAGAGGATATCGCGGCGTTGGTTGGTGGCAAGTCTCTCGATGAAGCGTCAACAATAACATCCTCAAAGTACATGTCCATTTTGGGTGCTTGGGACCAGCGACTCCATTGCCGTGAGCAGTTTGCGTCGGATGTCAATGGTCTAAAGACATGGACGTCGAAAAAACGCGTGGAACGAGTTGTCACGTTCGAAAACCCATCCCGCGTTGAAGAAATTAGCGATACATCCATGGCTTGGAGTGATGAACTCCCTGGCGAGATTCCGACGTTGGTTCAAGTCAACGTTCCGGGTGCGTTGGACCCATCCACGATGCTGTACACTGGCAACCTGGTTGAGAGGGGCAAAGTACCTCAAGCTTTGCCTGATTACGCCCACATTAGCGTTGTTTCCAATGCATTTAGCCTTCGTATGCGCCAACACTTGAGCTTTGCATGTATCGCACGCGCTCTTTTGCAGCGCTGGCAACTTGAAGACAATGGGGACCTCGACCCCCAAAGTGTCGCCACTGCAACCAGTGCCATACAACTACGCATGGTGCTGCATGGCGAAGACGGTACTGGAAAGTCACATGTCATCGCTGCTGTACAAGCATTTTGTAACTCGTGGAAGAGACCATTCAGCATTGCCAAAACTGCAATGACTGGCAAGGCCGCCGTCTCGATAAACGGAGTTACGTTGCACAGTTGGATTGGCATGCACAACTTGACCCCGAGCACTGTTCACGAGGCGAAAGAAGCGGACGAGTAAGGCGTGCCTGGCTACACGGAAGACCTGAAGCTACTTCTGGTGGATGAAATGTCCATGATGAACAAACAACAGTTGGTTCGACTGGACGAGGCACTACGTGCTCGGACAAAGCTGGACCTGCCCTTCGGTGGAATCAACATCGTTTTGGCGGGTGATTTCTTCCAAATGCCCCCTGTTGGTGGAAAACCGTTGTACACACCACTGTCTGCGTATTGAGGGGACTTGAAGCTCGACCTCTACGAAGACCCGGGCTTCCATTTGTGGCGGTCGTTCAAGGATGTTGTGGTGTTGAATGAAAACGTCCGATTCTCCCAGAATCCCGAATGGGGGCGATATGTGAGCCTGGCACGAAAAGGCGAATGGAGGCAAGTGCTTGTTGACATCCTGAACAGCCGCATTCTCTCGGATGGTTTGGTTTTGAAGAGCATGGCGTCATCAAATGTCAGCACTCCTTCAGCTCCTCCAAGTCAACGATGTACAACGTACACTACCCCTAACAACCGGACAAGACAAGCCATCATCAACGCATACACTACCTCAGTGTCTACGAAGCTTCCACGGAACCACTACCCCAGTCGAGTTGTGGCCAACTTCAACGGTCGATTGAACGGGTTGTCGTCAAAAGACATATCTGACATCATGTCCCTTCCCGACACAAAGCTCGGCAACATGGCCCCGTTCATCGATTTGATCCCAGGTATGCCCGTGGTGCTTACACAAAACGTGAACCCTCAACACGGGATTGCAAATGGAACGTTTGGGACATTGCACTCCGTTCAGTTCAACCAAACGACAAAATTCAAGCTCGTTGAGGATGCTGGATCGAAGCTGAAGGTGCTGATACCCAACAGTACACCCGCAGTTGTGTTTGTTCGAGTGACACGTCCAAAGAACTTTGACGTGCTGCCTCGAGATGGATTGCACGACTCCCTGCCAGCTGACGTGTACCCCGTGTTCATGTTCAAGCCTCAGGGATCAACTGAGGTTACGTTGACGCCTGGCCCTGGTGGTTCAAAACGAACACTGAAGCTCAACTTGCAGCAGTTGCCGTTTGTCAACGCAATTGCTTCGACAATCTACAAGATCCAAGGCGAGACAATGGAATCCCTTGTTGTCGCGGATTGGAAAGCACGTGGCTCCAAGTTCAAAAGGTTGTCAACACGTGCCAACAAGGATACATCGCCATCTCTCGATTGACCAAGCGTGATGGATTTTCAGCACTGAAGCCGCTGACCAATGCGTGCATTCAGTACTTTCAGCCGAGCAACGAAACAATTGCAGAGAGCTTGAGGCTGGAGAAACTGTTTGCGCTGTATCTATCCCGCAACGAAAACACTGCCTTGCTCAGCTCCTGTGATTTCAACGCCTTGAAGTCAACTCTACCTGCAGCTCCAGTAGCAGTCGCTCGGCTGGCCAAACGCAAGCTCTGTGTTCTGGATCTCATGGAGAGCACTCTGACAACAAACACGATTCCAATGACTCGGTCAAAGCGGAGTGTGTTGGATCGCATGGAGAATTGCCCACGAACAATTGAAATTGCCAGGGTCCAACCAAAGTCAAGTGTTTTGGCGCTGATGCAGCGAGGTTCACCATGCACCATGCCTCCTGCGACAAGTTTGCAGGCCTCGGTTGGGCGTACCGAAGAAATGTTCTCGCAAACACCTTTGCAGAATCCAAGCACCCCCGTCGGCTACGTTCTTGCCACCTTGTCGTTGAGTACTTCGCCTCCTCGAAACCAAGACAATATGAGGAGTGAACTATCTCGCGAGGAGCTATTGAGTTACGTATTGACAGCACAGGATCACAATTTCAACTTGGCTTCTCTGCTTTCGTTGGTTGCTTGGACTGGCGAGGACGTGATCAACCTTTTCATGGAAAGCCTGGTGCAGTCTACGCCAAGCGTGGCCTTTTTGGACAGCCACTTCTATGAGAGCATGACGAATGACCCAAGTCTTGAGCAAGCCACCCGTATCCTTGGCAGGTCGTCCTACGGGCAATACACGCAATGTGTGATCTTTCCGATCTTTGCATCTGGTCACTGGATGCTTGGCATTGTCAATTTTGGCACCAGTGTTACGGATGCTACGACCCGTTGCAATGCCCCCACCCGGACATATTGACGACATTACAACGCTTTGTCGAATCTCTGGATGAGCGTCGAGGTTAATTACACGGCATGGACATTCCTGGACCCAAACAACCCAACGATTACGATTGCGGTGTCTTTGTTTGTATTGCAGCAAAGCAATATATTCAGACGAACAGCACTGGCCCTTTTGAGCATAACGACATGTCATTGTGGCGATTGCATATCCTCAGCCGCATTGCTCGCTTCAAGCCATTGGCGCCCCGGCCTTAACTCTGTATAGATGTAGATGTAGCAAGTGAAAACAACGAGAACCCCCACAAAAAGAAGTAGATATTGCATGCGAAAAAATAATAGACTAGAAAAAAGACGTATTGTTATCTTTTCTAAGCAGACATTCGCTTCATACCCCCAGCAAGTCTCGCGTGCGTATATGCAAGTTTACTTTCACATGTTTATATCGAGACGTCCTCCGAAAGTATAAGGGAAAACACCTCCGTTTTGTCCACATAAGAGAGTCTCGATGTAATAAAATGTACTGATAACAGCAAAAGGTGTTACCTTCATATACACCATGGTTTTCGTTATCCGGTGGCTGATGGGGGCGGGTTGGCACGTGATTTCATGCGCGAATTCTAGCGTACGTACTAGACTTGCCACATTTCGTCCACAGGGCCGTACTTGTTCGGTAACCATCTATCAATCATATCCGTACTGAGGTAGGAAGTACTACGTAGTAGTGCACTACATTCAGTATAGTAGTACCATTAACGTTAGAAGAAGTAAACGATTAACTCACGAGGAGACTGCGCCCAAAGCGTAAGCGGTATACAATTGTTGTCTGTGCACATAGCATACTTTAATCAAGTAAAAAAAGTAACCGTCAAAGTTCGCAGTCTCTCTGCGTTGGGGTAGAGATTTTGGGCGATCAAGTTGTTGTCGATGTTCGCAGTCTCCTCTGCGTTGGGGTGAAGATTCCGGGCGATCAAGATGTTGTTGTCGATGTCGATGTTGTTGTGTGTGCACACATACTTTAATCAAGTCGTCCAAATGCGTCAAAATAATCAATACATACTTTAATCAAGTTCGACGTAACTGTCAAAATGCGTCATATTATACTTTCTCAAGATATTCAATGCACTATTTAGACCAAAGTATAGTAATTACAGTACTTCTGGAATGCAATCAACATTGGATTAATTTGACTCATTAATCTGTAAAGTACTACTGTACGCTTCTTGAGTACTCCTACTAGTACATGTACTACAGTAGAACTACAGTAGACAGTACTATTAATAGTAGATTGTATATGCTAATCAAGTGAAGTACGTACTCCACGCGGATGCACAGAATGGAGTAATTTTCAATAGACCTTGCATTCAAAGGAAGGGCTGGTACATCCGATGAGAGCATCATACTAGTACTCTGTCTTGTACTGGAAGGAGTACTAGAAGGACAAGGTTTGATACCGCATAGAGTACAGTTAATGATTACTATCAATAGTACAGCATAGTAACTGTATACTAGTACAGTACAGTACAGTACAAGATACTATTAATACTTGTACTACATACTCTATCATGTACAGTACTCCGGAGTGCTTTGTAGTAAATGGATGTATGGATTGCAGTGTGGAGCAGTAAACAGTACGCATACGACAGTAATAGTACAGTACATAGTAAATGTACTACAATACTAGTATGTGTTACTACGTACTAGTAGTAATCAAGTCAAGTATTGGTAACATTCAAAATATGTCATAATAATCCTCCAAAACATATGAAGTTGACTATTGGTGCAGTACATTGTACATCGAAGTACTACACTTGTACTTAGTTTATGTTAATCAAGTGAAGAACAGGTACATGTACTACAGTATTACTCCGTAGCCGTACATAATACAATTTATATGTTAATCAAGTGAATTAGCATTCGAAATACGTCATAATAATCCTCCAAGATATGTGTATAGTTGATTTGAATATACAGTGATTGCACTTCGAAGTACTAGTACTATTAATAGTACTACTGGTAGTACTGTACATGTACTAAAATCCGAA